CACACACACACACACACACACACACACACACACACACACACACACACACACACACACACACACACACACACACACACACACACACACACACACTCTAGGTATAGGAACATATTTTAAATGCTGATTTATTTGTTTAACATTTTAATTTCTGCTAGATTTACACAAAGTACATTTATTTTATATGTATTCAATGGATTTTAATGCTATAAAAGTAATATTCTAATACAGTAAAAAGCTAAAGTATTAACACTAAAAAAAATATATATATATTATAATAAGGTTAAATTAAATACATTTATATTTGATCATACATTCTGTTTAAAGCAATCTGCAGCTCCTCTGTTCACCCACTGTCTGAAACCAGAGCTGCTCTGATTGGTTAGCTGGCCGGCTCTGTTGTGATTGGTCGACAGCTTAGAGATGTCCCGCCCCTTAGCCTATCACGTACAATGTGTTGGAGCGCTAGCCAATAAGAGTGAGTGTTCCATAGTGATGTCACTGTGTTCAGAAAGTAAACAAAGGAGTCCAACAGACGGATGTTTATAAATAGTTTATTCACCTTTACAGTGTTTTTTATTTTATATAAAACAGAAGGACAGAATAAAAGAAGAGGGGGGGGGGGCAGTCTGACATGAAAGGTTACGCTCACTTCCTGTTTGTGGACAAATTAATACCTGACGAGTAAAAACAACAAAGTAAAGACCGTTTCCTGCTCCGAAGGCTTCGTGAAAAGTTTCAGAAAAATAAATCTGAGTTTTGAATTCGGTTTATAATCAGCGTGATGTAGATCAAAACTACAAGAGGGAGGAGTCTGTCTCCTAAACCCCGCCCCCAAACTGTGATTGTCCAATCATATCGCAGCAACAGAAAATACGTGAATATTTTCTAAAAGATAAATTGTTAAATTACTTTATGAATCTGAGATTAAAGTCGTACATTTCCAATAAACACATTTTCTTGTGCCAGGACCCCCAGTGGGTGGATTTAATCGAGTCAACCCACGCTGTTCCATGTTTGTGTCCCCGGTTATTTTGCGACTAATCATTTAATATCAGAATTCTCTTTAAAATGTGCGACTTTCTTCCCTTGAACATTCCCGTCCTCCTTAGCTCTGTACATTTCATTTTTATCTACAAAGACGCTTATACTTGTCCATCCTGCATTTAATTTGGATTTATTTATTAAATAAGTGTTGAGATGCAGAGAAACCTCGGAGCAGAAAACGGTTGCAGGTACGGTCACATGACGCCGTGCACTTTATTAAAAGCAAATAAAAAAACTGGACTTCCTGTTCGGAGAGTTGAACTTCAGCCGGAAGGAAAACTGAAACCTGGGTTTGAAATGTTTGTTTTCTTTACGATATAGTTTCTGTTGAACGCAGTTTGACCTTAAGGCAAAACGAAGAAACATCATGGACCATGTTTGACTGCAAACTAACAAACAAACAGAAATCTAACGTCAGTCTGAGCTTCATTTGGCAGGTTTGATGTAAACAGAAAGAGAAGCCTCCTCCCTGAAGGAGGGGTCAGAGAGTGAAACTGTAAATGATGACGGTTCAAAGTTTAATTCAGAGAGTTTTGGGACAGAAAGCAGAGTTCAGGGTTCCTTTGTTTACCGAACGTCATGGACTTCAATGGAAACTTTAACAGCTGATTTCTCGGTTTACACCAAACCTTCAACGTTTTCTCTCCGACTTTAGGAACCCTGAACCTCGAGCAGTTTGTTAAAAACCTTCGTCTCATAGTTTTGGAAATGGCCAAAGTCAATAATCGTGTTTCTGGTTCTTTAGTTGTGTCCAGGTCTCTCTGACAGTTTGGCGGTTTAATCTACGATTTAGCTGTAAAATGGTGAAAGTAAAAACACACGGAGCACCTGCCTGGCCTCAGACTCCTGAAACACCTCCGATCGGGAACGCTCAGAGAGAGGAACCGAAATTCTGACAGTAACACTTTAATACTTTAAATCAGGACGCTGGTGGTGTTTAGGGTTAGCTTTCAGGCTGGATTGTGGGTGTTGTTTCAGACGTTCGAGTTGTTTTGATTTTTACACAAGTATTTCTCCCTCTGCTAACGAGGGTTAGTTAATTGGTTTGTTTTGTTCCGTCTTCTGTAATCTAGTTTTGCTGGTTTAGTTGAAAAAGTTCACACCCAAATCCAAAACACCTCGGCCTGACATCGGGTTGAATTTCTCCAGAACTGGTTTCAAAAGGACCAGCGTTTTAGCTTCAACCCCGGATTTGGTCGGACACAGGTTAACTTGTGTTTGTCAGGTTTTTAGCCCCTCAGGTCTGAACAAGGACAGGAAGTGAGGCCAGGCTCGAGAGCACCTAACAGGACCGGAGACAGGAAGTGTGTTGTTGTTGCTGTAAGAAACACACCGAGCGTCCGGGTGGAGACGGGCACTCGAGGCCGGTCCAGAGCACCAGAGATGGACTAAAGGCTCTGTATCAGCCCCGGATAGCTTAGCACCTAAAACCCAACGAGATGAACTGTAAACCCGACGATGGCCCATCAGATGCTCCGGTTCGATGGTAGACCTCGAGACGGGATCACACAGGACGATATATATCTAACAAATATTTAATCTCTAATCTAAACTGGATTTACTTTATGTGTTTTCTTAATGATGTTACTTCAGCGGGGGGGAACCTACCTCAAGAGTAAGACATACCACACCTGGGGCGTCATGACCTTTATCCTCCTTGGTCTCTCCGTTTTCTACCGTTGTGTCTTTGAGTTCAAGCTCTTTTCTGATGGCTTTTAAAGGGAAACGTCACCTAAAAGGATCATTTGTTGTGAATACAGATTCGTTGTTAGCCTCTCAGGTGAACAAAGAATGGAATCTGAGAAGTCTTGCTGAGTTAAAATCAGGTTGTGGGAGCACCGTTCATCTGAAGTGTTATTAGTGAAGGTTTTAGTGTTTAAGTATTGGATACATGAGGATTAATACTGGACCAGTTTGTTAACGGATGTTTATATATGGTTTTGCTGTGGTTAAACACGGCCACCAGTAACTTCAATTAACGGAGACTTTCCTACGATTCTGGATCTAGGTTCACCGTGGAGGCATGACAGGACAAAGTGTGCCTCAAGAATTCAATGTAACACATTGAGTTATTGATATAAAAGTTATCATTGTGTGTTTGAATGATCCGTTAAGGTTGCATAGTGCTCGTTACCTTCTTTCTATGTGATTTCTAATGGTTCTTACGATGCCGTGCTGAGGACTTCCTGTTTTTATACGTCCTGTGTGATCAGGTCTTTCAGGAGCTTTCAGACCCAGAATCCTGACACCGCTGATGATGAACAATCAGAAAGTACAGGACCAACGCAGAGCCAGTGATAGGTAGTAGCACCAAATGTAAGGACGGAAATCAGACATCAGGACTAAAACCTCGACCTACTCCCGGTCTGGAGGAAGATGTTCCTTCAGAGGATCATCAGGGATGCTCCGATCCAGTACCGTCTCAAATGAATCCTCAAGAAGTTAGTTTGCACCTTTAGGAGAAGGTTGGTGTTGTGCATGAAGAGGCCCAACATGTGGTTCTAGCCCAGAGAACAGGAACCAGTTGGTGATTAGTTTGAGATTGAGTCTACGATCTGAACCGGAGCATCCCGAATGTTCTTCAGTAAAACCCAGACGGAGAGTCCTGAACCTGCTGAGATGTGAATGTGATCCTCAAAGTGTTCCCGGCGTTAAAAAGGTACAGCTCGAGTTTGAGTGCTTAAATGTCGCCAAGAAGAAGTAGTAACGAGTTAAACGATTAATAGTCTATGAACAGAGTAATATTAGTGATAGAGCATCACCCAAACAGAGGCTGAACCTCGACACCATGGAGACCGGCTGGAGTCACGCTAACAACAGACTGCTGGCACTTTGGTAGAGCAGAGCTTCTCAACATTTAGTGGTTTCAGAGAGCGGAGATCTTTACCGCCGCCAAGCTGAGTGCGTGTGTGGTTTGACTGCAGGATAACGGAAAGACTAGCAGCCCAAACTTCAGGAAAATTGGTGGAAAGATCAAAGAAGAAGCCTTCAAATTGTGGAGAGGATTTCTCACTTGTGGAGGTTTGCTCTGTCCTGAGAATCTACCAAGCGAAGACCTCTCTATCCACAAACCCTCGTTGTGTTCTGACCCAAACGTTGAGAAACTCTGATCGTAAACCCTTACAAACGGCAGCTTTATAACAAAGGACTTCCAGCTGGACAGAAAGCGGCACTACAGGAGCTCCAACGGCTTTCCTGGAGGGAGTTGGTCTGAGATGCGCCTCGATAGTCAGAGCAGAACAACAACCAGCGCTCTGCAGACGCTCATCTCTTCAGTTTGTGTCGAGGTGCGTTAGTCTACGTTTAGCTCAGAAGCAGATCCGGCTGAAGGAATGGTTATACTGTGTGTGTGTGTGTGTGTGTGTGTGTGTGTGTGTGTGTGTGTGTGTGTGTGTGTGTGTGTGTGTGTGTGTGTGTGTGTGTGTGTGTTAGCTTAAGTTTGATATAAGTCAGAGTATAACAAAAATACATTTTAACTGCAGGATTGAAACTGTGCAAAACTGAAGACAGACGGACAGAGAGTAGCTTTGTTCACAGTAGGTACTGTCTGTGTTTTAACAGGAGATTGTGAAGTTTCTTTCCTTAAAGCCGACTCTTCTCTCTGAGAGCGGCTCCGTCTCAAAGCCGGCCCAGAACGAAACTGGTGAAGATCGGACCAAAGACAGGACGCGAGGACCGGGTAAATCTGAGTTATTTGGTTTTCCAACGTCAAGAACACCAGAAATCATCCTGGGTTTAAAACATCGAAATATTTTGGATAAAAGAACCGAAAAGTTCAGGTTTAATCTTTTTGTTGATGTGTGGGAATATACAATCAGGACATTATATCATAACAATGGCCATCTACAATTGGCCCACCTAAGTTCAGTTCTACCTGATCAAATTCAAACATTTTGATTTAATTGAATCATCGGCCAGTTTAACAAGAGGGGAAATCTGCTGATTAAAGCATAATAGTGTCGTGGCTGTTAGTCATGAGAACATCTCTGTTTTGATGATTGATCTCTTTAAAGTCTGTTTCCAGCCTCTCTAATCTACAGATTTGCCCTTCTCGGTTTTATTTCATATTAAAGTGAATATCTCATTTAAAACATAACCTTGGACTCTGAGGAACTGGATGGACGTTTACCAAAGCAATAAACTAGGGAACAATCTGCAGGTTCATGGTAAATGATTGGTAGGAGCAGTCCTGTCAATAAAAGAGTGACAGCAGATTTACAGGATATTAACTTCCTATTGGCTTCGAGAGCTGATGTTCAATGAAAAGCTTCCTTCTGGAGATTTGGTCTTAAAAATGAGTCGTACGCACCCGGAGAGAAGAGTCAACGTTCAGAAACAGCTCAACGAAATGTAAAAGATGGGGAAACAAAAAGAAGATTGGTCTGCATAAAGTTTCCTACGAAGGAAGGACGGGGGGGGGTTTCCAACAAACATGTGGTCACTAAAGAAGTCTACTTGTCTTTATGTTTGTTTATATTCAAGTTTTACTCCTTTATTCTTTAAAACCTCCCGTCTGTCCATTCATCTGTCTTATTGTCCGTTCGCTGGCCCCGCCCACAAGCTTAGCCCCGCCTCCTCCGACCGCCATGTCATGTGATTGTCCAGCTGGGGGGGGGTCGTATAATCTGAGCTCTGAGAGTCCTGCAGATCAGACGCGGTCCGTCGGTTATAATCCCCGTTAGCTAACAACACGTCTTGGTTTGGGGTTCATGAGAGTGTAAACATACTGAATATATATATATACACATATATATCTGTATGTGTGTGTGAGTGTGTGTGTGTGTGTGCGTGTCAGACTTTAGTGATCTGATCGTGATGGTCGTCTTCGAAGGGCTCGTTCTCCGGGTCCGAGTCCGTGGTGTCGGAGTAGCGGTAGTGATCCGGCTCGTTGTCGCTGACGTCCGGCGTCACCGAGGCCGACGTGCTGCTGGCGTCAGAGTTCGCTCCCTCCTCCACCGTCTTCGTGAAGTACAGCTTCACCTGCGAGCACACTTTACGGTCAGATCAGGGCCGACATGACGCTGCATCACAGCAGCTCCAACAGCAACAAGGACACATATTAAGACAAGATGCTGTCGTGTCAAATGATCATCTCATCATTTCAAACATAGAGTCTTACTCTGAGTGCCTTTTACTCAATTGTAGTTGTTAGTCTTGTGTGTGTTTAACAGAGGGTTTAGCTAAGGGGTTACATTTCAGGAGGTAAAGGAAGTGGAGAAGGTGGATTTGTAAATGGTTAAGGACTGGAGGGATGATGGTGTAATGATGGGATGGAGGAGCAGCTGGTTCCTCTCATGAACACACAGAGAGACTTCTCTCAGCTGCTCTGTTCCTGTGTGTGTGTGTGTGTGTGTGTGTGTGTGTGTGTGTGTGTGTGTGTGTGTGTGTGTGTGTGTGTGTGTGTGTGTGTGTGTGTGTGTGTGTGTGTCTGTTCCTCCACTTCAGATCCATCTCACTTTATATTGACTTTCTTTATTACTTTATTAAATATAACAAAAGACAAACTTTGTCCATGAATCCTTGATCAGTTTCTCTGAAGAGTTTCCTCCACAGATAGAAGGAGACATTTAACCTGACGTCCCGATCACTGAAGACGACATGTTGGAGACCCTCTGACACCAGATCTGAGATGTAACTCTGTATTTAAAGTTAGGATCGACTGGAGCACAAGGAGAGCTTCAGCATCTCTGATGGAATGTTAATAATTTGTGTTCTCTGTCGTGTTGGGCTCAGAGAGGATGATAGTGTGTTGTTATGGTCGGTAGAGTCTCTCACTGACCGACAGTCTAAGGCAGGGATGGGCAACTTGGATGGTGGTGGGGGCCACATAATGTATGTACTGGCCACCAGGGGGCCGCAGATTCACTTGGAACACACACACACACACACACATTCCATGGATTGTATGTCATTATTAAAAAATATACTAAGTCTGACATCTTCATTGACATTTTACAATCTTTCAGGGAACATCCTCTAAAAAGCTCACTGAACAAATATCAGTTCACAGAAATTTTATTTAATGTTTACAAGTGGCATGTTTGTATTGAACAGGTTATTTAAAAGTGGAATAAAACTATTTTAAACTATTAAAGCACGGAAAGTGCGTGTGCATTGAGGTGAACCATTAAGATGACATACAAATGAAGTCATGAACCCTAACCCAGACGTTAGCTGTCTAACTTGAACCTAAGACACTCGTAGCCTCTGCTGACGCACCATAAGGGGAGGGTCCACACAGACACCTGTCAACTCTCTGCTGTTCCTCAGCGCCACTCCCCCTCCCTCCCGCTAACATTATGAATGAAAAGCGTAGTAATCATAGATAACACGGCGGTTTGTTTTCATCTGATTTCAAATAAACTAAGTCTTGGTTTTTAGAATATTAAACTAGTTTCGCCAAATTCAGATGATAAATAAAACCTTGAAGCTTACAAAGGCATAATTACAAGAGGCAACTTAACGTCACAGCAGGCACAACAACAGCCGGTGTTTCTCGTGAGGGTTTCCCTGGGAAACAAACACAATACACACAAACGCGTCACAGATTATTTTGCGGTATTTGGCTGCCGAACTAAATCATGTACGCAGCTTGCGACGTCACTAGGAGTCTAGTGGACGGTATCAGTACTACAAGTAAAACTACTTTATTTAATTTTTTTATTAATTACTTTATTTATAAATTAATCTGAGGGCTGCAAAAAGAGGAGGTGGGCCCCGGGCCGGCATTTACCCATCCCTGGTCTAAGGCCTTTAGAAGTGGTGCAAAACCTCACAAGGATCTACTTTCTTGAATGTGCTGTGGCTTCTTTGATGTGTAAAGTTTGCATTGTATCTGAAACTATCAATGACCGAAACAACAGTTTGAATAAAAAAATCATCACATAAAACACGTCCGAGTTTCTAAAGCTCTTCACCGTTTAGTGGAAGTGAAGGGATCGGTTTACCTTGAAGTTTGGGGAGAAGTTCCTGTTGGCCTTATCTTTGTTGGCCTTGTCTAGGTCGTTCTTGGTCAGCGTGAGAACCAGGAAGTCTCTGTCGTCTCCGCCCGTCATCATCATTGTCGCTGTCATCATCATCATCCCCTGCGTCCGGTCCGGCGCGGCGCTGCCGTTCTCCAGCTTCTCCCCAGGGGTCTCCTCCGGGCCCGGGATGAAGAAGGTATTCACCCAGAAGTGGAACATCTTTTCCTGACCGGACGGGAACTCAAGTTATCAACAGGTTTACTCTGTAAAGTCTACTTCCTGTCTGTCTCTAAGATGGCGTACCCCAGACAACTCAAGACAACCAACGAAACCAAGACCCTAAGACTTCCTACCAAACAATCAGGAAGACTAACCGGTATTCAGAACAACTTCCACATGAAGACTTACTCAAGACAAAATAAGGGACTAAACCAAGAACACCCAAGACCTCTTAGAAGACTTAACTCTTACCTAATTTGAAGACCATTGCCCGAATGGGATTTTCCTAAGAACACTGACTCAAGATATCTCCAAAAGCCCTACGGAAGATGACTCACCAGAGATGTAGTATCCAGGAAGACACATGAAGACTTACTCAAGACAAGGTAACTAAGACAATCACCTGTAAAACAGCTAACAAGAAGACCTGCCCAAGACCTCTAACCAAGGAAGACTTAACTCCGAATTGAAGACAATTGCCCCAAGGACACCGACTCAAGACAACGTTCACAAGACAGTCTACACAGGACTCATTGGTATTTAAGAGCTCGTCTGCAAGATGACCTCCACACCAAATCTTAGGAAAGGCAAGGTAACAAAGACCATCATCTGTAAAACAACGAACTCCAGAAACCTTCATTAGACTTCCTATCAAAGACCATAAACCCAGGTCTGTACTGGTAACTGTACTAAAGACCATCGCCCCAAGGTGAACACTGACTCAAGGTATCTCCAACTAGACCTACGGAAGATGACCAAAGATGTAGTACCCAGGAAGACTGACGGTATTCAAGACAAAATACTTAAAACGCCTTCCCTACGTCCCACTCATTCACCGTAATCTGACCCAGACAACTAAACCAAGACCAACCAAAGACCAATATACCCCGGTAGACCTTCAAGACCACCCCAGAGAGATTACTTCCATAAGAGGAGCCAAGAAGTTTTACTTGAGACCAACGAAACCTTCACAATGTAGGTAAGAAAACATACACCAAACCACTCAATTAAGCAACTGTGTCCACAATAAAGACTGAATACTGGGACTGACAGGTCTAATACTTTCTGTAGTTCAGGTTTAATCAGGAGTTACCATGAAGGACACATTTGAGGAATCAACATGTAGTAAAAACTCACATCCAGGATATAACACTTCTGTTGATGTAAAAAGTAAAAAGGAGTACGGAATGCCTCCTCTTCCTCACCTTCTTCATCATCTTGTTCTGCTTGTGGAAGAACTCCACCTTGATGTCTCCGCAGACAGGAAGTGGCTGAGGGAACTCAAACAGCATGAGCTTGTCTTCCCGCCGGGTGTTGGAGGGGTTGGAGGTGTGGATCTTCACCTTCAGCTGGTACACCACGAACTGAGGATCTGCAGCACAAACACTCGTTAGATCAGGGTCTCTATTCTGTGAGTCTACAAACACTCGTTAGATCAGGGTCTCTTTTCTGTGAGTCTACAAACACTCGTTAGATCAGGGTCTCTTTTCTGTGAGTCTACAAACACTCGTTAGATCA